ACAAGGAGTTTTCATTTTTTATGTATTTTAATATTTGTGTGAATGTTATTCTTATTTTTAGTCCTTTTTGTGTGAAGGATTGGGTGATGTAATAACAAGAGTTTTGGCTTTGAGGGTGAATGCATAATGATGATTAGAGCAGTGCTTTATGCATTAGTTACTTGCCTTTTGTGTTATAGTTTTATATGCATCACATATTTTATACTTTTCAATCATTCATATGAAATATATATATATATATATATATATTCATTTTGAATTCACTGTTAGTAGTGAATCTTCTTTTCATCATGAATAGTTTGTTATCATGAATTAGATATCCAAGCACATGAAATTATGTTCTTTAAAAAATATTTCAATCATCCTTCCTTACCTCCTAATAACCAATAATATGGAAAGGGTTTTGCAGTGAATGCATGTGAGATATATAGTTTCATTGATGATTTTTCAAATTAAAAATTATTGTTTCCAAGAATGGAGAGAGGGAAGGGCTTGTTTCATACATAGAAAAAAAGGATGCAATTATGGAGGGGAGGAGAAGAGCTAGATTTTGAGTTAAATATTTTAGAATTTTAGAGGTTTATATTATAGATTTTGAGAAAATTTTCTCCTAAAAATGTATAGATCTTGAGAAGATAAAATTTGACCATTTATACACACAAATATATATAATGGCAAAGTTTTTTTTTTTAAATATTAAAATTTGATGAACTAGAAGTTAAGTTGAATTTATCTTCAAGGAGATATGTTTAAGACTTCTGTGATTATAAAGTTTAATAAAGTTTTGGAGGATTAACCCACTCATGATATTATACCTTTTGCCTTAATAATGCTCTTGATTCTCCTAAAGTTATGTCATCCTTAATTTTATATATTTCACATTAGTCTTTATGAATACTCTTCCATCATCCTTCAAAGCATAAGAAGAAGATGTAGCAACATTTCATTAAACAAAACTTTATATGATAAAATAAAATACTAAAGCTGCACAACTTATTCTAATACCGTATTAATACCATACAAGTACAACAAATATTTCATATTTATAAACACGAAATACAAAAAGAGAAAGACACCAAAATATATGTTGATGACCTCCACAAAAAATCCTTCTTTGTGTCACTTTTCTCCATAATCTCAATCATCCTTTCATAAGTTGATCTAACAAGATGAATCCATAAACAAACATTTTCCATGAATATGCTCATTAGTTGAATGTTCTTTTTTGGACATTTCATGTCACAAACTAACTTGGCAAGACCATAGATGAAATATGTCCTATCGTGCTGACTTGCAACAGGCAAAATCCAAGATCTAATTTTGATTTTGATTTTTTCAAATTTCTTCTTTCAATTTAAACTTTAAAATAAACATATGCAACCAAATGCCATTAGGGCTTTATAGTTGGAAGGTGAGTTTAATGTTTCATATGAATTTTTCTAAAAAATTGCAAATTTTATTAAGCAAATGAAACTCAATTATTTATATATAAATGATAAAAAATATGATTTCAATATCAAAATATAAATAATTCTATAGAAAATTATGACAGATTTAGGCTTCGTTTGAGACAGCTTTCTTACTGCTTTCTAAAATAACTTTTTAGTACAAAAATTTCTATTTTTTTACTAAAAAATTGCTTTAAAAAACAGTAAAAAAATCGTCCCAAATAAAATCTTAATTTCAAATAAATTTCATTAAAATTTAAGATATTGTAACATTTTATATTATTTGAGGACATTGGCAACTATAATTTATATTATCTTTATTTATATATATATTCTTAATAAAATACTCATAATTAAAGATTATAATAATTACAAAGGAAACCAGTCATCTCCCTCTGCGCAATACAAGTGTGTCGGCAGTTATGGTCGGTTCTACGTGGAACCGCCATCTGCCTGAGGGTGACCTCACCGCTCCTCCACAGTCAACTTTACTCCCTTATAAACCTCTCGATATTCTCTTAAGCCTTGCTTATCCTCTTCTCTCCCTCGCTAAAATCCTTCTCTATCCGCTTCTTTTTAATCTGAATTCGGAAAGAAGATCACGAATCATGGCACAAATCTGGACTATACTTTCCAATCTCTATTCTGTTGCTGGGTAATCCATCTTCTCCTCTTTATTTTGCCCTAATTTTATACTTTTGCTCCGGTCTAACCGCTTGTGCCTTTGCCCTAATCCGCAGGCCCTGCGTGATGCTGTTATACCCCTTGTAAGTAGAGTCGTTCTTTCTTATTTTGTATGGAGAAGAAGAAGAGATGGTAGAAAAAGAAGATTTTGTTTGGTTGAAATGATTTTGATTGGATTTTGATGATGTTGGGTGCAGATATGCGTCGGTGGTGGCAATAGAGAGTCCAACAAAGGTGGATGATGAGCAGTGGCTGGCCTACTGGATTATTTACTCCTTCTTAACCTTGTTTGAGATGGTTGCAGAGCCCTTGCTGTCATGGTATTTCTTGCCAATCTCAAATTAGTTGTGTAGTTGTAAAATTACAAATTCATGTACGAAATTTATCAGTTTTTGGACTACTCATGAGTGTTTTATTATTTGTTAAATATATCTTAACAACTTTTACTTAGGTTATTTTTGTTCTGATTATTTTTATTCAGAATTTTTATACATCAATTTTATCTATCAAATCCTTGAGTCTATGTTTTTATTTAGCTTGTATTTATTAGAACTATGTTTACATAGTCTCATTCTTATTTTTAGCAACACCCCCATCTTAATATTATAAATTTCATGCACAAAATTTGCCACCTGATCAAATCTTTAAAGTTTACATACATACCACTTTATATCATGCTATTTACATATCTAACGCAAAAAACTTTAATATTTCATGCCTACCACCGGCCCATAGATCAAATATGAGTGCAAGAAATGAAATATTAAAGTTTAAAATGTGTTATGGGTGGTAGGAATGAAATATATGAGGGACATTTTTATATTGAAGTTGTTTATGGCGTTAGACATGATATATTAAAGTTTTAGGTGTTAGATATATAAATAACATAATATAAAGTTGTATGTATGTAAATCCTCCATCTTTAAAATATAGCTAAAATGAGAAAAGCACCAAAATGTTATGGTAGGCGTGTGGTTGCTATTGAATCTTGCTTAACTGTGATATATTTCATATGCCTTACAAAATATGGTTATTTCTGATAAACTGTCTGCATTTGATGTTGAAGGATACCCATATGGTATACGGTAAAGTTGATATTTGTGACATGGCTGGTGCTTCCACAGTTGAGGGGATCGGCCTTCATTTACAATAAGTTTGTAAGGGAGCAGCTGAGGCTATATGGATATGGAGGGCACAAGGAAGACAAGGAAGTTACTAAACCCTCCTCACCCAGTAAGGGTAGGAACAAATTTCTTGGGCTTGCTCGCTCGAAGAAGGTGATCAACTCTTTATGTGTGTGTGTGTTTTTTTTAATCTTACTTTATATTCCATTTTTAGGGTGCATTTGAAATAATATTTTTGCAGTTTGTTTTATAGACCACTGCTATACTTTTAGCAGTCTATAAATTTTTTTTAGAATAAAATTTATTAGGATTTAGTAGATTTCAAAAAAGCAACTTTATTAAAATTAACAAGTAAAACTATATATTTTGAAAACTGTTATAAGTATTATATAATTTTTTTTGAAAATATTGAATATCAATTTTCTTATATCTGTTTTTGATCATCAAAATTTAAAGTAATAATAAATTTATTTCCATTGGAAAGCAAAGCTATGAACTTTTTTTTTTTAAGAAAAAAGTTTGAAATAGTCTTGTGTCTATTGTTTAAAGTGATAGTGAAATAGATAAGGATATTATTAGTAGAATTCAAATTGGATGGTTGAAGTGGAGAATTGCATTGGGCCTTTCTGTGATGGACAAGTACCCCTCAAATTTAAGGTAAAAATTTATAAAATGGTGATGAGACCTTCATTGCTTATGGTGTGGAATGTTGGCCCTTAAAAAAAGTGTTGTAGAGATAAGGATGCCAAGGTGAATGTATGACTTTACACTTAGAGATTGAATATTAAACAAGTATATACATGGAGTAGCTTCAGTAGCATATAAAATTAAAGACTCTTCTTAGATGATTTGATCACATAAAACATTGGCCTTCTGAGAGTGGATGTATTAGATCTTAGTCTATATTATGAAAAGCAGAGGTAGACGTAAAAAAACCTGGTTATAACCTTTTTTAAATAAATTTAAATAAGAATCTGACTTTTAATAGGACACAATGGAGAAAAAAAAGATTCATGTAGACCGGTGGGATAAAAACTTGTCATCATCACAACAATCTCATAACTATTTTTAAGATTGCTGCAGTTGTCCAAACTGTGACCCTTAATAATAGATATTAGTTGAGATGGTTACTTGGTTAGTTTTTTTTTTTTTTAATATTGTTTGAATTCTCTTGGAAGCTAGCTAACAAATTCTTATAAATTGCAGGGGGAGTAGGAGCCCCATTAGGCATCAGCATTTCATCCTTGGACTGCTGAGAGACAGCTAACCATGCTTGTATTTTATAAGGTGTGACATAGCAAGTAGTTAGAAAAATAAACCATATTAAGATGGAAGTTCTTATCTGTCAGTTGTGTTGTTTTTTTGGTTATACTATATAGTGCTGATGCATCTGTAAAAATGTGAGTTTTTTCTGGGTAGTGGTGATTACTATGTGTTGTAACTATGTTGTAACTAAAATGTTACCTTTTGGTTTTTGACAGCTCAAACTTATTTGTTTTTGTTGGGAATGATGAAAGCTAAGGCTCAAATCTTGTAATTACAAAAAGAGAATGTACAATGAATAGTTGAATATATAGGATTGCTACAGGTAATAGGATCTCAGGAGCTTCCGGCGCATCCACCTCGGCGGGTCTGCCTGAGCCGACCGAGTGGATAAAAAAAAAAGAATCCGCCAGCCATTCTTCATGTTGAACAGGCTATGTATGATCCAGATCTCGATTGTTGGAGTTTGGTTTACTTTTACCAAAGATAGATTTGAATGCTTTGCAAGAGTTTCTTGGCCCGAAGTTCCAACCCCCAATTGCCTTTGCCTCAGTCGCCTATACGGTCAAAAAGATGGGAGTGTATTCCAAATAATATAAGGAATCACCCCCCAAAAAAAAAAAAAAAAAAGGCCTGAATTGAGAAGAATATGCAAGGAAAATTACATATTCAGGTTAGTCAAAACAGTTTCAATGAGCCACTTAAGGTTGATTCAGACATTATTAAAGCCATTCTTGGAAGTAGTTTAAGATTAATTATTGCATTAGAAGCAGATCATTGAGGCTCAAAACTAAACGTTCTTATGCTGTAAACGAAATCAAAATTGAAATTACTATAAACCTTTATTGAGACTAATAATCTAATCTTGAAAGCCTTTAATTCAAATCTTATGAAAATGAATTACATTGCTCTCAAAGAAAAGTACAAAACCTGTTATTTATTTGATACATAGTAAAAAATTGACTTGATTGGGCACAAATCTTGAGGCATATATTCTTTAACTAAAAAGTTTTGCACTTGGCCCAGAATACTCGATCCCACGAGTTCTCCCTATCCTTTTTAAGAAAAATTGAAGAAGATGCCTCCTTTAGAGCGAGTCTCTCTATCTGCTTGGTTTCAAATGTGTATGCAGATGGGCGAATTATTACGTCTGGTCACCGGATATTCGGAAACCCAATCCAGACGTGCCACATCACCCGAATACACTGGTTCCCGGTGTATTTTGGTGACGTGGCGTGTCTAGATTGGTGTCCGAATGAATCCGGACACAAGACATAATAATTTTCCCTACAGATGGCACCTAATTTTACTAGAAAGCAATTTCAAAAGATAACAGCCTTAGTACTTGAATTTAAGAAAAGACTAAGGAAATAGAAAAAAAAAAATGTGTTGATAGACTAATAATTCTCCAAAAAAGATTTAAATTATGCATCTTCAGATTTTATTTATAAGAATTCAAGAGCTACAAAAGAAAGCTACATAAAAAAGATTGAAAAAACATATTATTAATTATGGCCAATTATAGATCATATATGACATATATAATGGTGAGACCTGCAATGCTTTATGATGCAAAATGTAGGCCATTTAAAGAGAAATATAAAATTAAGTTGAGTGTTGCGCAAATGAGGATGCTCATGTGGATGAATGACTTTACACTTAGAGGCAGAATGCAAAATGAGTATATACATGAAATGGTTGGAGTAATTCCAACGAAAGATAAGATTAGAGAGTCGCCTTAGATGGTTTGTTCACATAATGTATTGGTTTTCGGATGACATGATTAGGAGAGTAGATTTTTTAAATTCGGCCTATGTTAAGAAAGGTAGAGGTGGACCTAAAAAGACTTGGTTGAAAAGTATTAGTAATAACTTTGTTTATTATATTTAAATGAAAGTTTGACTCTTAATAGAAGATAATGGATAAAAAAGATACATGCAACCTACCTTATATAGTGAGATAAAGATTTGATATTCTTGTATGGACCATATAATACATGTGTTGTGGCTAGATAGGCGTTTGTATGACTCTTGGTGTTTTGTTCAATCCTAATCTTAAGGTGAGTCCTCTGGGTGAGTCTTTGCGGGAGAGTAAGTAGGCGAGTCTTTGAGATAGGTTAGTGAGTTGGTATGGAGACTCTTCTAAGCATGCTAACGATTCTATTGGTATAATTCTTGGGCCATTAAGTGAGAAGAAAAACTCCTTGGATCATCATAATCACGAACTAAGAGTTGTCTGAGTTTAGAGTATTTGACCACCCTTGATCTTCTAAGATGCTCCTTTGTATTTGTATCAAGTGATAAAAATGTGCCTTACTGATTTGAGTGAGGGCAAATAACTTTTGGAGGGCTGCCTCTCACTGAAGAGAAAATCATTTAAGAATCTTAATGGAACTATATAAGTTTCTTGTATGACTTGCATATCTTAATTTGTCACAACCCTTTACTAGTAAGTGGTTGTGGAGGGTGAGGTGACTGTTCTAGTCGAACTCTTACTGCTAAAACCTATTAGGTCCGAGTTCTTCTATCTAACCTTCTAGGTATTTGTGAAAGACTTATATGAGCATGTATAGATATACACTATTCTCTACTTCAAAATAATGAGAATTGGCTCTTATTGGTGATGCGATGGATAAGAGACTCATTTTATGATTATCCTCTTACTCCTGTAAAAAAAAATAGACTTTTAAAGGTAATATCGATCTCCTCACTCTTATTTATGGTTTCTTCCATTCCACATTCTCATGCTTAGAGATTTGAATTCAATATAGAATGGTGGTCCATGGTTCATTGATGGAAAATCATTCATCATGAAAAATAGACATGAGACTATAAGCCAATGAAGGAGGAATTATTGGAAATACCTTTGTGGGTGAAGTTTCCTAATGTTCCCTTATGTTGCTAATATGAAGAAGATGATCATATTGCTTATATCAAGATTCCAATCAATCTTAATGGAGTTGAATTCTCTCAAGAGGTCATTTGTGATTGGAAATCACAAACTTGTTTCTCATATATTACTTTTGATCATAATATTAACTCCTGGAATTGTATCTTATCCTCATATAACAACAATCTATTCATGGGGATGTTGAATTATCTACTTCCCAAAAATTCTTTCTAACTGCCAATATGCATATACTGCCTTGAAGAGGATGAATCTATGCGACTCTTTTTAATATTTCATCTTCTATTAATTAAACATGGATTGTGATGATTTATCTAATTGTATCTAAACATGTTGATTGAAATATCCCTTCATTGAATTGTATCTGAACAAATTGAAAACAAGATTGATAAAAATATCCCTTTATAGAAAAAAAAATCAAAATAATATTTTAATTCTTTATGAAAGATCAAAATAATCCTCAATTATATTAAAGGATTATTTTGATCACTCAATTTCTTAAAGAGGAATCAAAATAATCCCGTCACCAGACTATTTTGATTAAAGATTTAAGGAACCAAAATAATCCTTTAATATAATTGAGAATGAATCATTTTTATTCTCCAAAAATAATTAAACGATCATTTTGATTCTTTTCTCATTAAAAAAAAAAAAGTAAACTTCAACAAGCAGACCATATAGAAGTGAACAGATCGCCTTTATATTTTAAATATCAATAGGGACAAAAACCAAATCCAGTTATTATGAAAATTAGGCAGTTCTACATGATAATTAGCATCCAAAGGGTTTAGATTAGTTCATCACTCAAAAAACATGCACAAGAGGTCGGATATCACAAAAAATGAATGGTTATTTCAATTGAATTACCTCATAAATGGAATTTTTACAAGATTATTTGTAAAATAGAAAAAAAACTTAAAAAAAAAAGAAAGAAAAAACTTTTTACAAATATCTTCTTTTAAGTTATGTACCATATGAATTCTTCAGTGATTGCTTCTTGGATGTCTATGTAGATTTGTTGTTCTTATTTTCTTGAATCTTCAATTCGGAACTTTGGAATATCTTCTTAAGTTTTACAGATCTTTTTGTAATCATTCAGCTGCAGGCATTCATGGGCGGAAAATTTTCTGCTTATTTGAAATAAAGCAGCGGCAGAAAGGACACCGGTGAACTTCAGAACAGCATTTGTAGCAGAGGACATGGCCACAAGGAACAATGGCGGTGTCGACCTCAGAACTAAGACAAACACGACAGGACCAAGCAGCTTTTGCTGTATCAGCATCTTTGCTTGCTGTTTCTGTCTTTTCCTGCAGTCATAACATGGGAAGCAGATATTAACAATGGAAATTTGTCCTGTAAAATCAGTCTTAGAGCTCATTTGGTCGCTTGCAGATAGAAAAAAAAAAAAGTTTCGGAGATTGATGATTTTGTTTGAATCATATTGTGCTTGATAATGAAATCATTGTTTTTAGGAATTTGATGATATTTCTGGAGTTAAAAAAAAAATATTGATTGCTGATTAAAGCTTCGTTTGGGACAGCTTTCTTACTTCTTCTTAAAGTAGATTTCTAATAAAAAAATAGATTTTACTAGAAAGAAAGCCGTCCCAAACGAAGTCTAACTTAATGTACTCCGTCAAATTCGTCAGTTTTCAATCATTTAGAATGACGAGCTTCATTAAATTCACCGTTTTTCAAATCATATTTTCTAGTTTGTAAAAGAAAAAAGAAGTCGAGTTATTTTCGTTGCAGAACTACGGGGTTCCTACATGGAACCTAATATTGTTAGAGTAGTTAGCTTTATGGACATCAATATTGAGCTCCGATGTAACATTCCAGAACAAGATTTGAGCATATATGCTGAGAGAAATCTTTCAATATGGCATTGGCAACAATGCAGATTGCCTGTAATTATTTTTTCTAATCAAAGATTGATTCAAATAACTTTGTTTACCCTAATAACACCATGCATCACAAGCAGGTAAGCACATATTTTGAACAGTTGAAAAATTTCAGTCCTATGAATAATCAACAAAAGACAGGTTACAATGCTCATTAATAAAGTATCAATGGCCATGCACCACCACAACCTTATGAATTAATTATCAAAACTGATATTTGTCATGTTTGATTAAGTAGCCTATGAGTTGTTCATTTTATTTGTCTATTTAGTATAAAAGTCAAATAATTGTGATTTACTTTTTAATTATAAATAAGTACATGTGTTTAGTGTAGGATAAACCAAGTTATTTGAAATGCTTGGGTAAACCATAGACATTTGATGGGTCAGTATGGATAAATGCATTTGGTTTAACATGCGTTAGGGTAAACCAAGTGTTAACCTTCGTATAATGCCCGAAGGAAGACAAAAACAAAGACAAAAAAAAAAAAAACCTCGTATCCTGTCGGATCCACGAATCCCGCTGAATCGGCGCCGTGAACGATCACTTCTCCGCACTTCCTGCGTGAAATCGGCTCTCGATCGCTGCCCCATTCGCGTCGTTAAATACCGACCCAAGCGAAGCCTTTCTTCGCTCGACTCCCGTAGCTGCTTCCACGACCTCTTCTCCTTCCGTGACTCCGACCTCCATTCCGCCTCCAGTTAGCCACCGAAACTTCTCATCCTGTTGCTGCCTCCCGTTCCCTTCCGATCAGAGAGAGAGAGAGAGAGAGAGGGAGGAAGGAGGGAACCAAACTCTTACCTTGCTGTGCCGAACTCCAAGCCCAGGCCCGACCTCTCTTCCCCGATCCCTCTGCTTCCACGACCTGTCGCTCTAGCCGATCATCTACCCGACTCCTCTCCAAGCCCCTCCGACGACATTCTCTTCCTGTCGGATTCGGAGTCACGACATTTTGATCGGAGCAAAACCGAGAGCTCGGTTGCGGTGAAGGTAACGTTCTCCCTTTCGCTCGTCTGTTCGGCCTAATCCCATGAGTAGGCCGAGCTAAGAGGGGGAGGAGGGGGATTTTATTTTTATTATTATTTATAATTATTAATTATAATTAGATATTACTAATTATAATTAATTAATTATAATTAATCCTTTTTTATAATTAATGGTTAATTATAACAATTATTAATTATTAAAAAAATGAAATGGTTCTTTTCTCGATGCTTGCGACGGGCCGGCAAACCCCCGAGGCGCTCACGTAGCGTTATAGGGCTGGAAACCGATGTGATGCGTGCGACGACTTAAGGATCCCTCTTCAATGCTAGCAACGAGCCGGCAAACCCCCTTGGAGCTCAAGTAGCGTTGTAGGGCGGGAAACCGATGCGACGCTTACAGCGAAGATGATAAAAAAAAATGTTCTTAGTTTTCTTTATTTTTATATAAGTACCCCCGAACGACCACGTGGTGCAGAGGGGGGAAATCTGTGTTTATTTCTAACACCTGTTTTCTTCTTATAATAAACAAACCTAAAAACACCTTTAAACGCTCACGTAGCGGGCGGGGATAAAAAAAACACATATGCGACCGCGGTGTCATTTTTGACACCTACCTGAAGCACTCACGTAGCGTCGAGGGGAAAGGTTGCCTCATAGTTTTTCCCCTAAACAGGGGAGACGCCGGGAGGCTGCCGAAATTTGGATTGAAAATCCAAGGACTTGAACAAGAAATGAAATTGGACTCGGACTTGTTTGAACAAAAATGAGATTGGTGCAAAGAACATGAACCAAACAAGATTACAGAGGACTTTGGCATTGAATTTGAACCCAAACTTAAACCAAATAAACTCAAACTCAAGCAATCAAAGACTTGAACAATTTGGATATGAAATTGCATTTGCAAGGACAACATGGGACACATGACTACTCAAGTAACGATCTAAATTGGAATTTGAACTTGCCAAGATCACAACAAACTTTGTTTGGATTTGCTTTGGACAATTGAATCGACTAAATACAAAGGTGAATGATTAATTAAAAGACCTCATTCAAAGCTTGATTCAAAATGAACTTGGTTTGAACCAAGTGAGATGGATTTGCAACGAATGTGTGATGAATAAGGGTCCAAATTTTGAACTAAGTGGGACTTGAGTTTGAACAACAAGAAGGACTCGAATAACATTAGCTTAATTTGAGCATAGAATGAACATGAACTTGTGAATTTTCAACATAACTTGTATCAACATATTTTCAAGCAAGAATCAAATGGAGAAATGCAATAGTATGTTCATACTTAACAGCACAAAATCTCCAATGAGTATTTGTCATTTCAATGGAGAGACCAATTCATCACGCAAGATTCAATCAAATGAATTGAATCCTACAAGTAATGGGGCTTATGTTGAATGAAAGTTTCAGTGTTGATTAGTGATGACTTGCACTGCAAACCATAGAAGAACAACAACTGATTGGTTTCAATATTTATATTAGTTGTACAACCAAATGTACAAAGCCCTTTAAAAATGGTATGGAACACTATCTTGTAGATATGTGTACGGGGAGACAGTGATGAGTACGACTATATACTCTTGAAGAAAGTACATGAATATATAATAAATGCAATAGACGACACGCAACAATCACCTTGACTTTCAGGACAAAGGAAAATCGATAAGAAATGGTAGAATGCGATGGCTTGTTCTCAAATAATAAGCTAAAGTATCGTGTGAATGTTGAAGAATCATCGCATTGATTGAAAACACAAACACCAACAAATGCAAGTCATCCTACTAGCACGATAATCTGATGAATTTGATGAATATGGTGATATTCTGTGGCCAACATCAAAACACAAGCATATGGAAGCAATGTAATAATAACAAATGCAAATACCCATTGACAATAAAGGAAGATTTGTTATATGCATATTGATACGCTTACAAGTGTCAATCAGTGGCGGGTTGTGAGTGTTGCAACATTCTCACAATCAACTACCATTCAATAGCAAACAAATATATCAGTCCAGTGTAATTGAAGAAGAATAATATGTAGCAAGTACGAACATCCGTAGGCCCTTGTTGAAGATTCATCATACATGCTAAACACCACTTACGAGCAAAGTTCCAAAGGAATATTGCAAATGCAAGTTCCTACGAGTTTCTATAAGAGATCCGGTATGAACATTAAGTGACATCTACGAGCAAATACATAAGGCTGTCAGCAAATACGAGCTCCTACAGGTTAAAGCAGGAGATTCGTTAGTGCCACAACATCCACCCATGGGTAGATATATAAAGACTACAGTAAATGCAGTATCCTGTAGTCAACTTTAGTCTAAGGATGAATACATCTACGTATCGTAAAAGTCAAAATCACGGCAGAATGCATAAAGCTTCTACAACCCAAGGCAGGAGATTAGTTGGTACACTACGATCCACCTGCAGAAGGCAAAGAGTAGTGTACTATAGTCTACCTATACGAAGCAGCGAACAACTCCATTCAGAAGCTGCCACGCCACGCCACCGGATCCGTAACATTCGTACTAGTGGACAGAAGGCGTGTACAAGATCTCAAATGAAAAGTTGTGTGCATCCAAACAACAGTTATATGCACAACTATGACCATCTCAAAGTACCCCTGCACGTGCACAGTAGTTTGTATACACATATATACACTAAAAGGGGTAAAAGTAATCAAGAACCCACATGGGCCCCAGCGAGCGTGTTATTGATACACACGTGACGTCTAGGGATGCTGCGCGGGTTGACAAGTGAATTCAAGTTCGAAACCGATCCTTCTATACGGTTCAATAGAAGTCGACAGGGTTCGAACCAACAAACAAATATACGGTTGTGGCGACCATTATATTTGTCTTAATACATTCATATTAGGCCTTTAATGCCTATAACAATGAGAATTCACTATCAAGGGTATAAAGCTTACGAAATCCGATCCTCTATCGATAATTCAATAGAGTTGACAATATTCAATAAACAAAGAAGAAATGACCCCGAACACCCCGATGATAGCCGAGTTGAATGCAGATCTCAACCGGGGGGGTTCCCAGATATCTTCAAATATCTCCCAAATATCCAAAGTCCATATTCCAAAGCTCCACCCAAAATATCCATAAAAGTCCAAATCCAAAAACTCCACAAATCCTAAAATAAGAAATATTTAAAATTGAAATAAACTATCAATCACTTAAAGCAAAAAACCCATCCACCCTCCGCAATAGTTTGCCAAGGTGGACAAATTAAAGTTTACTTCAGCTCACAAAGAACTAAATGCCTAGTCGAAAATATTACTAGGATCCATTCTCAAAAAGTCTTATGCCAGTAAGGACGTGGTACGTGTCCTCTGACCGGCGGTTCGCCGCCAAATGGCACCGCAGGATAAACGGTTATGACCCAGGGCCCTC